TGGCACTTTTGTTTATTTGCCCTAAGAGAACAGCGACGAACCAGGCTGCTCGGCATTAGCCCTACTAGTACTAGTAGTAGTAGTAGTAGTAGTAGTAGTAATAGTAGTGGTGGTAGTAGTAGTAGTAGGAGTAGTAGGAGTAGTAGGAGTAGTAGGAGTAGTAGTAGTAGTGCCTAGTAGTAGCAGCAGCAGCAGCTATTCGCATCTATTAAGCGGAGCTCTGCAATTTGAACTCTGCAGCCTTGAAATCTGAGCTGCAAAGCTCTCAGAAACTGAGTTTTGAAGTTCAAGATCCCTAAAACGACTCCTTGAGCCCCGAAAGCTTGACATCAAACAGGATGCAGCAAACAGTTGTCTGATCCTGAATAGGCAAAAAGCTTTTCAACAAATAGGTTACCCATGCAAAGGGAGGTCCGACATGACTCGCTCAACGTTACAGGGCTTTTGACATGTTTCCTGCCTTGTTTGGTTTTTTCGGGCTTTCCAGGCAAGAGCTCCGACTATTTGAATGCTGACGATGTCGATCAATGCACCTCGGCAAAGCTTTCGGTGGAGGCAAATCTTTTCAGACCGTAGCTGGTAGGCCTTCAGCAAGCAAGCCAGCATTTGAGGTGCCCAAGATTTGCTGGGGGCGGTTTCAGCCCTGCACGCACAGGGCTTCTATCATTTGGCACTCTCGCCGCAGAGTGTTTGGCTGCGACGAGATGGCCGCTGGTTCCTGAAGTACGCATTTCAGGTTGTTTTGCGGGTTGTGACGGTTGTTCTGCCGGCACCGTGTACACCCAAGATTCAGTTCTTGATGTACTCAACTCGCGATGCCATGGAAACCTCCGTCCATGGTTCTGTGATGCCGTTTTGTGGTTTGTGCCAGGAATGGGTCGCATGCGCCTAAAGCTCCTTGGTGGACAGCCAGACTCAGGGTGTCGGCAAACTTTGTCCTTTGTTTTAGTTTCAATGACCAGCTCCTTGAGTGTCTTGATAAGGCTTGCAGACCTGGGAGTAGGCGAGCAGCCATCGGATCCATGGCCGCAAGGAAAGAATCGCCAGCTGAGCCGCTCAGATGCAGACCGGTCCAGAGTTGCATTTCGTGGCGAAAAAGCCAAAAGGATTCCGCATGCATGGCATTGCCAGGAAGTGTCAAAAACTCACAGGCTGCCTTGAAATCCAGGCTGGCGCACCTACATGGCTCCCGACTCTTGACGTCAACGTAAGGGTGTTATCTTGATACCAGTATTGCCAATGCGGATGTGATCCGCAACTGCGTGATGCTTACCACGGAGCATGGAAGGCCCGGCCTCGAAGCCTCCGTCAGCTGAGGAGCTTCAAGAGTCAAAATCTACGGCAGAGGCGGTCCTGGCCAGGGCACTGGGCAAAGGCACGCCCACATCGCCTACCTTTGATTGACTTCTTCTCCTTTCCCGAGGTCCGGCAGAGAGGTTTTCAGGCTAGGGCTAGTTTTCAAGCTAAGGATATTATTCTTATGCGCCACATTCTCCCAGAAGCCACGAGACCTGGTATTCTCAAAGAGAGCTCACTTCTCTGAGGAAATTCTCAGGCATGGCCAGGCTGACACATGGAATGATGGCCTGGCTTGCTCACAGGTACCAAGCGAAAGCCGACAAAGATAGCTGAGAGCCAGGCTGGGGTCGTTCTTTGGAGCGAAGCCATCGCAGCAATCCGTATCAATCCGATCGATCCGTGTTTGCAAGCTTTGCACAACGAGTCAACATACTTCGTAAAGTTCCCTGCAAATCCACCTCGTCATCTTTGTGCCCTCAGCATCTGCAGAACCATGCTGCAACAAGAAAAGAGGCTGCTTGTCCTCTCGCGGTTGAGGTACTTGGCAACATCAAAGCGCTGGACATTTTGCCCAGTCTGCGCCGGAGCGATTCGGCTGGGACTCGGCAAGGCGTTGCCAGGCAACAGCTCATGAACCTTCTGGGAGAGAGTCTTGGCTGATGAGGCTTTCATTGGGCATCAACACTCGTGGCAAAGCTTTTGGCTGGTTGCATGTCAGGTTCGCCATCTTTGCTGAACTGGATCGTTCGGACTTGCACCAACTTGCTCGGGAATTCCAGGGCCCTTTCTTTGTCCCTCCTGGCTCTTCGCTCTTCAACACAGGTGAGCTCGGAGATTTTTTGTATCTTGTTCTGGCAGGAGAGGTGGTTTCCAGGAGGGGAAAGAAGGAGCTTCGGAGGTACCGACGCGGAGGCTTCATTGGGGAGACAGCCCTGCTGGGTCCAGCACCAACGCGGCGAATCTTCTCTGCTGCAGCTGCACGGGGCGGGGGCGGCTGTGCGGTTCTCCGAGCCTTGATAGATAATACTTAGATGATCTTAGATGGCTTTCAGCACTTCGCCACGCTAGCTTCGGGCCATTAAGGAATGCATCACAGCTTCTTCCGAAAAGACTTGAAGATGGGAGGCCCGCTGAACAGCATTGTGGGACCTGTCAGGCGGGCCTCATGCATGGCATTGAGAGAATCTCCACCTTGTTGCCGTGTGTGGGCTTTGGCTGAGCATGTCACCAGCCAACTTAGACCCCGCACCCTTGACATTGGGATTTCAAAGCATCGCTCAGGTTTGTTGGGTAATGCCCAGGCTTTTCATTGCGGTACCTTGGTACCTTTGAATTCGTAGCTTTTGAACATCTTTCGGGCTTTTATTAAAAATCTGGCCACGTGAGGAAAGATGATTATAATTAGATTTAGATTTTACAAAACCTTTTCGGTTTCCAATAATTTTTTGTCGTTTTCAAAAACAGGTTCGTTCAACCACGTTTTCCTTGCTCGATCTGTTGTAGGGAACTGTTTGCAAACCCTCTTCAAACTGCTGTTGCTGGGGGTGGGGGTCTCAAGTTCGCTGGTAATGTGCAGTGGACCTTGCCTTGGACAATGTTACGAGGCTAGTCTTGCATAAGTGTTTTTGTTAAGTACCCACTAGAAGGCTGTTCGAACAAATCAGCAGCTGCTTGGAGATGCAGCGCTTTTATTCACAAGCAGCAAGTATCCTGAAGCTTGTTCAGCTAGAGGTGGGGTGGACTAGCCTGAACTGGCATGGTGGCTTGGGAAGGTACCAAGAAGGCGCTTGCAGCTAGTGTGGCTGCAGCATGCTTCATGTAAGGCCTCGCGGTGCGAGGTGAAGAAACGAAACCGGATTGTCTGTCGGAGTTGGTGTGGAGAACCTAGCCATGGAAGCAATGCAAGTCAAGGAGTCACAAACCCGACGCAGCAGAATAAGCTTGACAGGCTGACCACGGGCTCAAGGGTTGTGCGGCACGAAGTCCTTTCCTGCATCAACAAATTTGTCCCTGCAGTTAAGCTCCAAAGGCTGAACAATTTTGCGGGTTTCATGTCTCCAGTCCTGCGGTTGCCTTCAAAGGCAATTCATTTCAAATACACTCGCAATAAACTCCAATCGGGACTCTTGCTCGAATTCGTGACACCAGCATTCCTAATTCTCAACCTTACCACAAGGTTCAACCTACTTCTACCGGGACGAAAACTCAGACTTTCCTGCACTCCCGAAAACTCGGTCTTCCTTGAAACTTTGTTATTTCTTATTTCTACCAGCCCCTCTGGTGCGTGATTGCAAAGCAGCTTGGTTAGCATTGATCAAATCCTGAGTTGGCAGGATGAGCGAAATCGCGGTAGATTGCGCCAGGGCCAATGCTGCACGCGTTGGCTCGCATAATCTTCGCGTGGAGAGTCCACACCAGCCCTTAAAATATTTCACAGAACAACAATCATGAAGGTCTGCCCTCCGTGCAACAGAGGAGCAGGGGCAAAAACTCAGGTGCTGCAGAACACTTGGCTGGTTCTATGCATGCGTCTCAAAATGCGCGTGGCTGCATGGAGACCGCCGTATCAGGTGATGATTGGACTGCAGCAAAAACGCAGGCGTTGTGGTATGACCCAGCTGCTGCGGAGCTCTCGTTATGAGAGCGTCGATCAGTGCAGTAGACATGAGGTCGGTTAAATCAGGCCAGTTGGGGTTGAGATGGCCAGAGCCTGGAGTGCATTTTCCAACCGCTTACAGTAGCTTGTGGCCATCAGCAATTCCCAGTACAAGAACGACTTGGCAAAAATTTTCCCATCAAGGCTGGGGGGTCCAGCGTTTGCCAGTCGGTTGGGGCCTTGGGACGCAGCCCGGGTCTTAGTTCCATCCATACGTATGATAGAGCCGCCCGCATGGCACCGGAGTGTTCCGCAGTGTGCAAGCCTTGAGCTCTTGAATAACTTGCAAGCTTGGCAGGGCCGTCAAAAGTTAGTGATGGTATGACCTAGACCGGCCAGGGGTGAAGTCAACAACAAGTTTTCCTTCATCTTTGACAAACCAGTTCACCTTGAATTCATTGACCCCAACACACCCCAGATCAGCCTGGCAGGTGGAGATATCTTGAGTCTTGTTTGCCTTAAGGGTTAACCATGGCCAAGCTTTCATGATGGCCTGAGAGGGGCCTCAGGCATAGACCCCTAGAGTTGGTTCATCTTTCCAAGGAGAAGCCAGAGGACTCGGCTGAACCAGCTGATGCAGATGTGTTTGCAGCTGGCTTGCTGTGGTGCCAAATGGCTGCCAGCTCGAGGGTGTTGACCCTGTACAGGATCCACAAGACGCCGAAACAAAGGGGCTGTGTTCCACGCTAGCTGACTAACATTGGTGGCTGAAAGTTCCACTTGGTGGCAGGACAAAGCGGGCAAGGACTGTGGAAGCCCTTTTGGATGCCGTGGCTGCCCGCGAGATAGGTAGCTTCTATTTCCTGGTGCAGGAGTGACGTGATTCATTGCTGAACAGATCGAGAGAGGTATCGAAAGTTTGCAGCATTCTGCAATCTCCAGGACTGGAGATCGGTAGCTCTCATCCAGCTCGTCATCCGCCGTGCCTCTGCTTATGAGGCCTTCATTCTCAACGGCGCTGATGCGAACCGCAGTTTTGCAAGCTCTGAGAAGTGGCTTCTAACCAAATTGCTATGGAAGCCAGCAAGTAGGATCACCATTGACTGGGGCTTGTCCAACAATCCAGTGGTGCAAGCTGACAGGAGGAAGTCTTGAGGTGGACCCCATGAAGCCTAGTGCCAGAGCGCCCCTGTCTTGTTTCGTCCTGGCAGGCATTGGTGTGCCTGGAGGAAAGGGATAAGATCGTGGCAGAGGGCAACAGCGAGGCCTATGACGAGACGCAGTCGCTCGCGTTGCGATGTGCTTGTTCAAGATGTGTGAACTTGTGCATGTCTGTCATGACCTAGCAAACCTAGCAAGGTCAAGCATCACTGGCTTTGTGGGCAGAACCTTCAGCGATATGCAAAGCAGTGTTCGGTCAGCCTTTGAGCTCACGCAAGATGCAGTGGCAGCATCTGTCGCAGTTCAGATGTCAAACCGGGCAAGAGCCACTGTCTTGGATCAATGGAAGCTGCTGACTAATGTGGCCACAGAGAGATGCTGGATGCAAGGGGGCTTCATGAAGTTTTCCTGCGAGGAATGACCTGAGCTGTACTTCCATCATTGTGGAAACATGACGAAAAGGTTCTGTAATTTGCGCTTGCTAAGGAGCTGGTCAGATCGCAGGAGAACTGTTTGGCGAGCTGTATGGGAGCCTTTTTGCAAAGGACCTGTTGTGGATGTTCCGGAATCCAACACGAACACAGCGATTCCCTGTGCTCCTTGTCCGAGATGCCGAAGATGGGAACTTGCTGGCACGCTGGCGCATTGGCGCCTCCATGGTGTTTGAGAGTGAGCTTTGTGCCCGAACCCTTCCTCGCGTGCTGCCCTCTGTGCGCCCTGCGCTTGCGGCGGGCTTTCAGATCGGCTCCGCGGTTGGCCGCCAGCTGGCAGCACTTTCTAAAAACATGGCTGCTGCGAGATGTCTGACAGCTGCACTGTAGCCTGCCAAAGCGCGCTCCGAGGCAATCGCGCCATCAATTTCAAGCGACTTTGGATCGATTCCTTCCTTGGTTCCTTCTTCAAGCAGCTCATGACGCTGACGCGGCTGAGGCTGAAGCGGGTCCGAGGTGTTCGTGTGCGCTGGGACCTTCTTGGCAGTGCTTTGAAGGAGTCTGTGGTCAAGGGTCAGACTGCCAGGAACCTTGTGTTGACAAGGTTCGGCCGACTTCCAACAAAGTATGACCAGAACGACCCACAGGTTCTCCAGCTCTTACCATCCAAGTGGGTCCCTGACATCGGCCTTCCACTTGCGAGCGGTATTGGGCGTGGATTCATGACTCGTTGGTGGCAGGGTTTTCGCAGTGGTCTCAAACGAAAATATGTGAGGCTCGACTTGCTCGTTGTTGCCCTTTGTAATCAATGCTGAGGGTGAGAGAGCATGCATTTCAGCAAAATCTTCAACTACGTATGTTCAACCGTTAATTGCTTGAGGCCTCGATTCGAGACCTGGGACCTGGAAGATGTGCCTCAAGTGATTCTGAACATTGCGAGGCAACAAGGGGCAGAGCAGGCGCGAGATCAAGAATCTCTATGCGTGATTGGCAGAGTCAGTGCCTGCAGGCTGCGCTTGTGGCATCTTCCGTGGGGGATACAATGGCTCGGGACTTGGGCTACTGGTCCGGGACCTTTGCTGGCATAGCATCTGGATTGGCGATGTGCAGCTTGCTTGCATGCCATGCGATAGATGCGGCTTCGGACATCTGCATCTATGTAAGACTTGCTTGGCTGCACAAAGGCATCCTGGGCCAGTCCAAGTCTTTGAGCGACGATGGCGACATGGTGGTGGCTGATGGCTACTTGGAGAGTGACCGTGAACTCATTGCCTTGGAGGACTACATGCGGGACGCCAGAAATGCTAGGGACAGGGCGGGATGAACATACAACACAAGTGAGAGCAGCTATGCCAGCTTCTCCACCCACGCCGGGATACAAAGGCTCATCCTCATTAAGACATTGTCAAGGACAGCAATGGTTTGAAAGCTCTTCCAGCAGCACCCTGTCGCGGCAATCAAGGGCCGGCAGCAAGCAACGGATCAACTAGCACCTGCTTCCTGGTTGACTTGGCCTTGAGGAGGCCAAGGAGATAGAAGCACCTGGGAAGCTCTCAGCCGCAGCACTTTGACATGGCTATCACACTCCGTGGCGATGCAGCACTCGCACAACACGAGCTTTAGGGCAGCTGGCCTGCACTGCCAGCAGGTGCTGCCACACGGGAAGCGGTTGGCTGCTCTGCGCACAAAGCAGCTGTAGCAAGAAGAGGCGGCGTAGCACGTTTCATTTCAGATGTCCCAACTCTGACGCCCATCTCCTTGGAGGCAGGATTCAACATTTCTGAAGTACAGTCAGGATCTTCAGCTGAGGACCGATGGCAGCTTCATGTCAACTGATATCAGGCGAAGACTGTCGGCAGAACGTTGACATGATCGCGGAACGGAAAGGGGAATGCAGGATGCTTTGCCTTGCTTACGAACTCTAATTTGCATCCATGAAGCTGGGCAACTTATGTAAACCCATACTCGGCCTCATTGGGCACGTATGCAGCTCAACCCTTTTTATGACAATGCTTGCTGCTTGTCCATGGTGACTGCGGGTACGCAGCACGGAACAGCCAGTCCGTATGGCTGCCTAGCCAAGCATCCCCGCTGTGAGAGCGGGGGTTGCACGCTTTTCAAAGGGATGGCGATTTTGCACCGCCTATCTGACCTCGTGGTCGAAAGAGTGGAAAGAAGGGTCACTTGCTGGTCCGTGACAAACTTCAAGCGGTTTGCAGACAAGCTTGACAACATCTTGCGGCATTCAGGCTCAGTTCCAGAGAGATGACACGAGCACATAAAACAGACGACGTGCAATTTCCGTGAACTCATTGAACTGGACTGCAGGCGATAAAGTGGCAAGAGGCTAATCTCGCGCGTTATTGTCGAAGCTGCATCCGTGACTGGCTGTTGTTGAGCTTTTGAGGGTGTAGACTACAGACATACAACCTTCGTACTTGTCTTAATCTTGCAAGATGTGAGCTTGCCAATCTGCCATGGACGACGCATCCGTTCAGGCAGTTTGCTTCCTGGGGAGTAGACATGTCATGTCAATGTGGAGGGAGCAGAACACGATGGTGAAGCTTGAGCTGTCTCAGCTCTGCATTTCTGGGCCGGGCCTTCTGGCAATCCCGAAGTCCACAGTTTACAGGTAAATCTTCAATTTCGGAAAGCTGGGAGATTCTGAAATGATGAAGGAAAGCTGTAGCTACTGTAGGCGCAGTTCAAGAAGGGACCTCACAGTGGAGAGGATTCAAGGCAGGCTGCTCGAGCGGTGTAGCTTCTGCGTCAGCCTGAAAGGATCCCAAGCCAGCTGCAGCAGTGGATGTGGAACTCGCAGACGACATCAGACATGCAGCTTGGCGTCAAAAGCACTAAAATGCATCCAATCTGTGATCGGCCACGCATGAATGTTGAACATGCTGGCGGTAGAAGGCTTGATTTCCTGCAAGTCGTGCAGATGCCTGAATGTGTAATAGGAAGAGCAGCCCAGGTAAAGTTGCCAGTTGGCTGGGAAGGCTGACTGGGTGCGACAGCGATGCTGATGACGCTTCTTTTGGGTGTAGAATTCAATGGAGTAACGGCTCTTCGCCATCGCATCGCACAATCTTTTGCATCTTCCTAGGATATGCAGTCATTAACTATTAACCCATTAGTCAGCAGGTTGGTAGCGGTTTGGCCTACAAGAGAAGCAGCATTTTTGGCACGTGATTGCTGCGAGGTCTCTCCTTGAAGCAGCACGCTGGCAAGCTCCTTGTCTCTGAGGTCCCGAAGGTGAGACCGTTTGCTTTGCTGAGCTGGAGATCTGCCCCCTCCCTAAGTCATCACTCCTGTATCTGCGCGACTGTAACTTCGGAGGCCTGCTTCTCATCGAAGTCTTTCGAGAGCGGTGCAAAGCCGCAAGTCGGGATCCTGAGCCCAGGAGTTGTTCTGATGTCAATTGCAGAAGAGGCTGGGGGATGGTTGCCATGGAGTACACAGAAGCCAATCAAAATCCAAGCCTCCACCAGACCAGCGCGGCTGCCGGCGCAACAAAGTTTGAGATTGTATGGGACATTGGGCAGTCGGCTTCCCAGGTCGAGGGAGTGTTTGAAGGGGATGAGATCATCTCCATGAATGGCGAGCCCCCATCAAGCCTGGGTCACAGCTTGCTGTCGCAGATGTGCGTTTGAATGCTAGAACTGAACTGTCATTGATTTGAGCTGATCTCAGGGGTCGAGGAGCGAATCTTGACCGAGGGCGACTCATGGAATGCGTCTGAGCCTCTGAGATCGAACCGCAGGGCGGGGTATGTTAGAGTCGTCTCGCAGATCCCTTCATGTTTCCGGACATCTGCTTGCAGGGCTCCCTCACGCATTGCTTTGCAATGTTTCTTGTATATCCCTTGACACAAAGGTGTTCCCTGGCCACACCTTCGCACAAAGTTGGTTCAAAGGGAAAGCCTGGTTCTCAGACGGAGGGCTGCAAGATGCAGATGTCTAAGCTTCTTCCTCTTTGGCAACATCGTTCCGGGGGATGCGGATAGTCCAAGAAGAGATCTTGAAGTCACAAGTGTGCAGAAAAACCTTCAGAAAACTAAAGTCTAAAGGAAGTTTCATCCATGAAAAGCGTGGCATTTGGCATGCAAATGGATCAGCACGGCTTGTCAGCAGCATGTGAATGCTCGAGCTTAGGCACGAGGGAGAGTCAAACACATTTCATGCTAGTTGTAGGGAACCCACAAGCGCTCAATTCTGTCCTCCTATTGGAGTCTTGTGATTCATCTTACTGTGCCGACGACAGCTTTCACATCCGCTGTGCAGTGCCATGGCCCGCCAAAGCTATGCGGTGCCTTACGTGGAGTCTTGCAGCAATAGGTCCAACCAAGAAGAAGCACTGTTGTTCCCAAACCTGGAGCCACCAATTGCCAAGGAAATCTCTCAACAGTTGAGAGAGCGGCTTCCATGGTCTTCTCTGGCTTTTCTAGCAGCTCTTGCAATCCTCAGCGCCGTGATTGTGGCGACGCGCACTTCGCAGCCAACATGTGTGAAAGACCAGCCTCTGGACTGACTTGGACAACAGTGTGCGCGGCTACTTTTTTTCCACCACCCTCGTTTGGGATTTCAACTGCTTTTCTTGCTGGCCTTGTGGAAGCTAAGGAAGTTTTGGCATCTCATGCTTGTGGCAAACCTGATGGTGTGCTTCGTCACGAGACTTGGAAGCAGGATAAACAACTCTGTGTGGGAGTCCAGTTGTGGCCAGACGGGTGCTGTATTCAGATCCAAAGACATCCAGAATTCAGAAGGATGGTCCTCAACGGCGCCCCTGTCGAGATGACACTGCTTGCCGCCGGAGCAGTGGCATGCTTCGCCGACGTCCTCCAACCAGCTGCCTTGTTTCAAGGATGTGCATCAGACGCGGTGGGGGCCTGGGTGGCTGAGAATTTCAGAACAAGGAGGAGAGTAGAGGGCAGAATTTAGGCTGAAACTCACATGCAGTTTTCATGACGCTGCCTATCTAGTTGGCGAAATGCTCTTTGGCAACGCTGGCTGAGGTAGTCACACTAGCATTGCTGTTTCCGATCATGAAGGCTATGGGTGACACGGGCGTGCCTGAGACGCTGATTGGCTATGTGTTGGGCAACCTGAAGGGAACGCGTGCACTGCTGTTTGGCATGTTCACATCCGTGGCATTCCTCTCGGGATTATTCAACAACACCCCGATAGTGGTCATGATGATACCTGTCCTGCAGTCTCTGTGTCAGCGTCGTGGACTGGCCCCACGAGCCTTGCTGATGCCTCTAAGCTTTGCTGCGCAAGCTGGAGGAAGTCTGACTCTGATGGGCAGTTCGATCAACTTCGTGGCACAAGAAGTTTTTGCAAGCAAAGGGTATCACATCACGTTTTTTACGCTGTCACTCGGTGGCGTCATCATTGTATGTTTTGGTGCAGTGTACTGCTCCGTGCTGGGACCCCGCCTCCTTGCAAATTCCTCGCGCCACTCACCCAGTGCAGAGCCAGCGGTCAGGAAGGGTTCTGCCAAGGAACACTTTACATTATTTCTTCGAGTTCAAGGTGCTAGCCCTTTGGTTGGCATCTGCGTGAGGGATGTTGGTTTGCACCGCATCCCGGGAGTGCAGGCAGTGTTGGCACTGCACAGAGACCTCGAGGAGACCGGCACATCCTCCTACACACACGGCACTTCGTCAACTGTTGAAATGCAGCAGCTCTCCGAGGTGCAACTCCAGAACACGGCTTCACCCAATCGCTTCGAATACCGAGGATGGGATCAGCTGGCAGATCTCAATCTTCAGGATGGAGATTTATTGCAGATTTCTTGCAGCGCTGCTGGTGCAGCTTGTGTGAGACGGGTGAAAGGCTTGGAGCTCAGCAATGAGGATGAAGTTCAGCGTTTGGGAGCCCAGAGACGAAGTAGGTCCCTTTGCGAAGCAGCAGTCCATGAAAACATGGTTGGCACTAGCGTGGATGTGTCGTGGTGGAGGAAGGAGCTGCGATGCGCAATACTTTCTGCCAAGGGTGGCCGCAACAGGGACCATCCACCAAACTTTCAGAACTACACGTTGCAAGTTGGGGACGTGCTGCTTGTGGAAGCATTTCGAGACATGGTTGGATCTGACATTTGGCTTCAGCATTTTGGAGTTGTGCGGGTTGAGCCGAACTCCGCTCCACCACGGTTTGGACAGAAAGCGGACTTATTGCGAGCGGTCTTCATTGTCATTGGCTTGATTGTCTTGATCTCGCTGGCTTCCTTAGGCTACAAGAAATTGACTATGCCCCTTATGTCTGTGATTTTCTTGTGTGGCATCATTGCAGTAAAAGGTCTAAAGATGGAGGAAGCCTATGGCGAAGTCAATGGGCAGGTGTTGCTGACGATCGTCGGGGCGCTAGTTCTTGGCAAAGCAATGGAGGCGTCGTGTTTAGCGAGTTGCGCCGGCCAATTTGTGGTTTTTATTGCTAGGCCGCTTGGAAGTACAGCTGTTTGTGCTGGCGTCTATTGCGTCACAATAGCATTGGGCCAGTTCTTGAACAGCGCGGCAAATGTCGCGATAATGGGACAAGTTGCATTATCAGTTGCAGAGGAGATGCAGATTCCAGTCGGTGAAATTGCCATGGTTGTCACATACGCCGCATCTGCCTGCTACATGGCACCATATGGGTACCAAACAAACACGCTCGTGATGATGGCTGGAGACTATGACTGGGGTGAGTTCATAAAGTTTGGAGGCTTCATGCAGCTTCTGCACATGTGTGTTGTTCTGAGCATTGCCTCATGGTGTGCAAAGGTCTCACCGGTAGGGGCTGCACCGATGTAAGTGAAGCAGGTATGAAAGAAGAGCCACGGATTCAGGTCAACCTTCAGAAATGCCGGTGTTGTGCACGGCTTGAAATTGCTTAGTTCATGATTGCAGACCACCAAGCCGCAAGACGTCAAATGAAGGTTTGACTCTCCTCCTTGCGTGGCATGCGATTTCCAACGGCGGCGCAAAGCACTGGGCCGGGTGCCCGGGACGTCATCCTCAACAATAGCATCCCCTGCCCATTTTGCCGTGTGTTGGCTGCCGATACTAGGTTTACGCAAGTAGTCATTGTTTTGCGCTTCTTACTGTCTTAAAATCTCTCAGCTCTCGAGAGCTTTTGTACCAATTCTGCCTGCCTGGCGCACTGTCATGGAGAGAAACGTTAGGCAGCATGGAAGTCTCCACAACAGACGGAAGTAGTTGCACTCGGCGGCATGTGCAAACATGGCATGTTGAGAGTCACTGTGCAAGAAGCTGCCAATCAATCCTGCAAGTTTAGAGCACACGGAAGCTTCAAGTGTTTCTTGTCTCTGAACGACTGCACATGCAGAACAGAAGCCCATGATGGCCTATGCTGGCTACCCGGTTGGGAGCTGTAGTAGCATGCCTGCCAAGCTGCCACCAAGGCCTGGACGTTGCTTTGCAGATGTGGCTCCGAGCTGTAAAAAGGGACATCCGCTTCACGCTTGCTGCTTTGGACTCAGCACTCTTTGCAAAGCTTTGGGTGCTTCAGCCGCAAGCGATGTTAGCCAAATCGCTTCGTTGGAACACTTGTCACCCCGTTGGATCAGCAGATGCTAAGTCACGACATTTCCAGTTTCCAGCCTGTGAGCTTTCAGGTGAAGAGCACCGGGATCGAAGCAAATGCCTCGATTTTCTAATTTTCGTACGTCATGCCTCGAGAAGTCACTTCTGCTGCTGTCACTGATGCCACACATGCCTCGCTCTTCTCAGTTGCCAGCTCCAAACGGGACTACCTCACCTGCCACATCCTTGCCTGATGCTCAACGTTGTGGCTGACAACAGATGTGCGAACTCGTGCATTTGCTTTTTTGGAGTTTTTCAGGTGTTCTCTCGCACAAGGCCTTGCTGTGCTGCACATCAGCATGACTCCCTGAACACAAGATGCCCAGCAAAAATAGTTTCTTTGCGTCAGACCGCGGGGAGAATTCTGATTTGATTTCCCCATCAAACATTCCTAGCAGCAACAAGATCAAGCGTTATCGGTGACCGAAATCGCGGTGGCATGTTCAAGAGGTGTTTGCTGTTTTTTGTCATGGCAGGGAACGGAGACAAAGCATCTTCAGTGGTAGACCTCAAGGCGCTACTTGCAACTGCATGCAAAACCTAGTTGCTACTCTTGCAATCTCGAAAGGGTAGCACCACGGGCGGCGCTCTGCGGAAAATGCCGCAAGCTCAGAAAGCCATCAGTTCGACGCAGAGAAGACTTGGAACCTGTCACCGAGGAAGAGCTTGGACGAGTTGACCAAAGAAAGAAAACCCGTTCAAAAGGACGCACCGCCTTAAACCAAGCCATGAAGCCCGAGTTATCAGAACGTGCAGCTGTACTTCCCATGCTGCGTCAGGATTTCTTGAAGAAAGGAAAAGGCAGATGTGCGTGTGTTCTGGTTACGTTCAGCGGCGGGCAGCCTAAACTTTACACGACAACTATCAGGCAAGGGGAAGCTCAAGGGCAAAGGCAAAGGCAAGACAAAGAAGCCCAGCGGTGTCTGGGGCAGCACTCATTCAGAACATGCGGGGATGAAACTGCAGCCCAGACTTCTCGACGCATGTTCAAAGAGGATGTCACCTGTCTCAGGCCCGCATCTTCCGCGCACCAGGGTTCGCAGCCAAGTGCTATTCAGATTCAGATTCAGCCAATTGGCCAGCTGCTTGGATCCCGGAGGTGTCTACTGAGCCTCTTAGAGGTGAGGTGTTAGAGTGGAAGTCCAAGTTCGGCCGGACACCATGTTCTGCATGCAACTGCAACCTAATTGTTTCGTTGGCTGCTCTTCTGGCTGTGTGTGCTAAAGGTTGGATCAAGGCCTCCACCAGCATTGATCACCCCTTGGCGGAGAAGCGCCAAGGGAAAATTTACATCAATGTGCCGTGCACAGCTGGTGGCAGCACTTGCAAGCCTTCTTGAGCTGAAAAGACAGTGTTAGTGTTTGCGCTGCAGCTGCACCAGCAGCAGCAGCAGCAGCAGCAGCTAAAGCTTGTGATATGGCATATGACACCTACTGGTGAGGTGATTGACTTGATCAGCCGCAAATCACTGGAGCCGGAAACTTGGCATATCTTGCAGGTTGCAAACTTTGCATACCAAACAAGTCCAGTACTCAAGAACTCAGAAGCCTGCTGGCTCGAGCTTGGCGTTGTATGAAGTGACCCCCGCTGGGGCATTGAGAGAGATGTCAAATGCTTGAGTCACTGTCAGAGTTTGTCGTGCAGCGCACAAGGCCAGACGCAAAAAGGCTTAGCGAAGGAAAAAGAGCGTATTGGGTTAGTGGAACTTGCTCTCAGTTGTCATTTGAGCATTTCAGCCACTTCAGATTACCTCGCCTGTGCATTCAAACGGGTCAGGTTTACGGATTTAGGGTCTTGGGCCGGGACGCTTGGTCAGGGTGAGGGATGCCTCAAGGGGAGGCAGTAGAGCAATTGAGTCCTGGGCTGGGGTGACTGAAGCCTGAAGTGGTCAAGTAGCAGATGCGGATTCGCCTTCAGAAACTCGGGGAAGGTGCAAAGCTGTATGCCAAGGCCAGGCGAGACCTGCGAGCTCGGCCCTAAGATGGCACCTCCACGCCGACGACAAACTGAAAGAGAAAAGAATCTGACGCTGTTAGGTTCCATCTTTACTCGGATGCAAGTGGGCCTGGCGCCAAGCCCTGCTTGTCTACGGGAGAGGCGTAGGCACATCACATGACCCAAAGGCTGGGCGCGGAGGAATGCTGGGTAGTCGGTGATGAGGCATGAGCCAAACAGTCGAAGTTTTATCAGCCCTGCTTGTATCGGAAAGCAGTCTTCCAGCGCTAGCCGCTAGCCAGTGATGGGAGAAAGCAGTGCTGCATATTGGCGACGGCACCTCAGTAGACAAGAGGCAGCCTTATCAAGATGTGGGACCTGGGTTCGAAGCACAACGCCGCAACAATAACTTGGACTGTCGAGCTTTGACCTGCACGGGTCAGCTTCTGCTTTTCAGCATAGAGTGAAACGCGTCTTCACGAAGCAACGGTTGTTCTCGATCTCCGAAGATGTTACTGTATGTGTGTGTGTTTAGGCCCTTCAATTGCAACATGTGTTCCACTTCAGAGTCATCCTTATGTCCCCTTAGCAGACATCGTGAATCTCCTCAAGTTCAGACATCAGCACGGAATCGTGCGGAGACGTCAGGACTGGAGTGAGTGGACGGCGGAGGCTGCGGAAGGCAGGACGATGAGCAGATGTGAGCGAGCTGCATAAGTCGCGGTCGCGGTCGAAGTCGCAAAAGGCTCTGAAGCCGACTGGGAATGGACGGACGAGGATTGGAATGACAATTGGCAGGATAGCAGGCTGCCCAGGATTTGTAACTGTATAAGCTGCTTCAACCCACCGTGGCCATTCTTTTTTGCGTGAGGTGAGTGGAGTTCTGACGCAGCCGGCTTAGAAGCAGTGCTCAGAAGTCCCAGATTCATGGCCATAGATCCGCTTGCCCCATTCTGCACTAAGGTCCAAGCGCAGGATGTCTGAGTCTGACGGCTGCCCAAGCTTTTCGGAAAAGTTTTTTGTCCCGTAGCGTGGCAAGGTGCCCTTGAAGCGCAGATTGCTTTATGCGCAGCCCTTCACATGATCCCTCTCGCAGCTCGATTGGACAAATGAATGCCGCAGCCAGTGCAGCTCAAACCATTTTCGGGTTGAGGCAGGCCAGACTTGACAATTGACGAGCTTTCTGACGTTCCAGCCAGGGCCCTGAAGTGCATGATGTTGCCTTGCCAACATGGCTAGTCCCGCATGCACCAAATCTTTGCTTCCGCTTGAGCGAGAGAGGATGCAGCATGGTAATTGCACCCGCTGCCATTTCAGCTGGCTGAAGTGGACCGGGCCGCCCAACAGCCGCACTGCGTCAGATGCTTAGAAATGTGGTCGTGCTGGCAGTTCAGACACACCTGAACTCCAGTCCTGCGCGCTGACCCCAGTTCTAACCTGCTAAGGGTGGAGGCGGCGAGGCCGAGTTGAACAAGCAAAGAGGTTGCAACCTGTCTCTGCATTGTCTAGGGAATGTCTGCTGCTTCATGGTGCTAACTTGCAATACTGGTGTGACAACCAAGGCCAAGAGACTCAAAGCTGCAGAGCAAAAGCGGAAGGACAAGCATGCCTCCCAAGTCTCCCACTTCCAGGTTGGACTTCTCTCGTCGAGCCGAAGGCGGTCCTCAAAACATCCCATACAAGGAGATCCGCCAAGGCAATCTTCCCTACGAGGAGGTAGACTTCTCCCAGAACTACCTGTCCGCTAATGAGCTGCCCGAAGTGATGAAGATTTGCAAGCGATGCCCCAAGCTGCGTGTTCTCAAGTTGTACAAGAATTGCATCGACGACTATGGAGCTCAAGACTTGGCAGAGCTATGCCGGACCGCTCCACATCTTGAGGAGATTCACTTGTCTCACAACATGTTCACGGCAGCTGGTGCCGGTATTATCATTAAGTCGGCAGAAGAGTTCCGCCGACCAGACACTGTGCCATTGTGGTTGCGATTGGAGCACAACTATGTGGATGATGCAGAGAAGGTCTTCCAGACCCTGCAGAGCCGCTACAGCGTTTGCAGAAGGACAGATGCCAAGCTGTGCACTGCTCGCACGTGCCACAACAGGTGCAGGGTTCATCTTCCTCATTTTTGCCTTCAGCGTTTGTCCCAAGTGGAAGAGACCGCCAAACGGTCACCGACGCATGCCAATCATCAGTCGTTGTCAGGGCATGTCTTGCGCAAGTTCCGAGCAGACCTGGAGCGAGAGAACAAGGACAAGGTGAAGATTGATCCTCACTTGGACCATCGGATGGACTTGCGCACGTACCCCATGGTAGACCCTCGCGTGGAGGCCTTTGACCGCGGCTGGGACCCTCAACTAGATGATCGACGAATGTCATGGACAAGGGGGGCCGCATGGCTGAACATGCCCCTGTCATGCTCGACCCGCAGTATCCAAAGCAGCCCCCCCCATTGTTTTTTTGCCTTGTCCGGCACGTACTTGCCGCTTAGGTCACCGACCGCGACTCGGAGGACTTTTCGGTTTTTGCCGCAGGGCCAATCATGGGCCCGAAGGAAAAGGAAGTTCACCCCGAGCAGCTCGTAGACCAAAACAGCTGCCAAGAGTTCGTGTGCAAACTATGCGAGGGGGTGATTCATGATCCAACTCTCACCAGGTGCTCTCACAGCTTTTGCAGTGATTGCTTCCAGAATTATGTCACAAACAGGGTACGGGGCCACCAGACTGGTCCAAAGTCTGGGTGCTCCATGCAGAGCATGCCCTGCCCAGAGTGCGGTGATGGACTGCGGAAGTGCGACATCGTTCCCTTGCATCATGCTCGTCATGCTGCTGCCCTTGTGCTCCAACGCTGTTGGAGCAATGTTCGCATCAGATGCATCCACCACCCACAACATTTTCAGTATGGCTTTGGTTCCTACGCACAGCAGCTGTCGCACAACACTGGTGTAGAGTGCTCCTGGCTTGGGAACTTGTGTGACTATGTAGCTCACATCAACAACTGTCCGGTGCAAAACTACGACGCTGGTGCCGACAAGAGGCCAACCAGCGGACACATCACTCCCCAGGAAGAGTGCCCAGCAGAGTACGTGGCTCCCTTCACTGAGGATGCTCTGCAGCATTGCATAGCAGGTACAGCACCCAGTTCCTATCACATGCAGTGTTGTAATCGCTGTAACCACATGAGCAATGGTCAATACTCGCGTATTAGGCACGAAGAGAAGGAATGCCGTGAGACGTGGGAATCGCGCAAATAGGCCCAAAAGCGATTGGACCCCCAAAGACGATACCCCTCAATCTAAGACGTTACCACGACTGTGTTTTGGCTGCCTTTCTCGTATACTGCGCCAAAACCCCCAAAAGAAGTAGGACACCCCAACTCGTCTATGGCATCGGATTATACAGGAAGTTTCGGTGAACGCTCACATCAGCTTGCTAAGCATTCAGCTCCCTGATCTTTGGGTATGCCATTGTTTGATTAGATTTAGTTCGCAACTAAGGACGAGATATGCATTGTCCTGTATGATTACACACCCGACAACAACCCCAAGAAGATTGCCGTTTCGGAGGGTGACCTTGTGAGGGTATACAGGACCTCATCCAACGGATGGACAGGAGGTTCCATCGTGGGGCCGGACATGCAAGACATTGGTGAGCCAGGGTGGTTCCCCACCAACATTCTGGATCACTATGATGAGCGCTACTGGCCCGAGCAAAATGGCAGCTTCGCATACAACGGGCAGTACGGAGAACACATGGTGCACAGCGGCGAGTTCAATGACGGCAACCAGGAGGCACATGTTGAGAATTATGAGCATGGCTTTGGAGAAAGTTCCGGTGAAATGTACGATGAGAACTACATCCAGCAAAGCGACGCGCCGTACCCGGAGTCATTCGAGGCAAGGTATGAAACGCACTATGCCGAGTCGTATGTCCAGCCAGTGGAGAAGCACGGGGAGTCCTTCGAGCAGTATGAAGAGGCTTTGGACACGCAGTACAGCGATCCCGGCAAGCAGGAGTACGGCGAGTCTCCCGAAAATTCTTACAATCAGCCGTTCGAGAAGCAGTACGGCAACTCTTTTGATCAATCATTTGAAAAGACGTTTGAGAAGCGCTACGGTGAGCCTGTTGAGCAGAAAGCATATGCTGAGCCCTTTGCACAAGCCGATGAGAGAGCTTACCAGCAGCCCTTGGAGAAGCAGTTCTGTGAGACTCTTGAGAAGCCGTACAACCCAAGCTTTGACAAGCAGTATGGGGAGTCGGTGGAAAAGTCCTACGGAGACTGGTACATCCAGTGCTACGACCACCAACAGTATGATCAATGGTATGATGAGAGCTATGCGCAGTACGGATACACGATGTAGATGGCTTCGAGATCAAGCATCGTGCAGAACGTCGCTTGAGTATTTCTCGTGTAATTCATGCATCTCGCTGTATCCCTGTGCTAGGTTGCAGGGAATGGAACTGGATACTGATTTAGGTTGCCCGACCAACAATATTGAATCCCAGTCTTGGTCGACGGGCAAGCTTTCCTGCGTGCTGAACACTTGAGGTACAGAGTTGATCCCCAAGGAAAGTGTTGGTTTGGGCGGTGTCTAAGAGATGCCATAGCGTGTTCCGTCGCCAGACTTAAAGCTGGACCCGCCCCCATCCAGCTGGCAGTGATCCTTGTGGTATATCCTAGATATGTATTATCACGTACTCATGCAGATCCAGAGATATCTCAGATTGCCTGACATGTGAGCGGCAAGTCTGCGTGGGGTGCATGGCGACGGTGTGACTTTAGTGCTGATTTGCTTTACGCGGAACTACCGGAACTGCAAAAGGACTCTCATGCTTTGCATGTCTGACATTGCACTGGCACTGGGAGCTTCCCGACACTAACAAGCAGATTCGGAGCAGGATCTTGTTTGGTGTCGCAGGTTATGAGCTTGCGGATGCGGAAGCGGCAGAAGTTGAAGCCCGACTATTCATCTTGGCAGGAAAACGGAAATTCTGCACTAGCCTCGGCATGTTTCAGGCGGCCAGCACATTCTGAATGGGGTTGCGGTCTTGTGTCAATTGATTGTCATTCTTTGCCGCAGCTATTGCACATGAAGGCGGCACCAACTTTTTGCAAACCCACGCCAAAGTTCCTGACAACAACCCAGCGACAATCGTGTCGGAAGGCTCCACACGCCCATGCAGGCTTCCAAATCTATGCATGGCTATTTCCGCTACATTCTGAGTCAGATTTGCTATCACTTCTCGATGGCTCGCCATGGCCATTCTAGAAACAGTGCACTCAGTCGATGTCTCGACAGTGCAGAACTGGCTTGCGCAGCACCCTGGCGGCATCAGTCTGCAGCTCCAGCTTCCAAAAACTACAATGCCAGCAGTTGAGGCCAGCTCGCTTGGAGAAGACTTTGCGGATCTTTCTGCCGAATAAGGACAGTCAAGCTAGTGAGAAGTGAGTGTGCAGTGTGATAGCTCGAAAGAGCTCGAAAGCTTGCTTGCTAGGACGTTGGTGAGGATACAGCGACACTCCTGAGCGCTTTGACGCTACAGTGCAGCAAACTGCAAACACTGCAGCGCACGACTTACCTGGCTGAATGTAACGACTATGACAGCCTTGATGCGATGACACCCGTCTCCAGTTACAGGAAGCTCCAATTAATTCAATTAACGCTGACGCTGAAGGCTTCCTGGAAATCGGATCGGCGATCAAGGAGCCCGGCTCTTACACTGCAACCTCAACCAAGTTTGAACACCGCACCAGTAAAGCCTCTGTGGATAACGGAGGTCTTTGGTCTGCCAAAGGGGCTTTCAGGGTTAGCACGAAGCGATCTTCCTGCTACCTTCCTGCTTTCTAAAGATCTACCTGCTGAGGCCAGCTGTTTGGCGGAGAGCCTCAGGCTGCTCGCAGCGCCACTTCAGGTCTTGGAGTCTTGGCGCGCATGCGCACACCGACCATGTAGGTTTGCACGTTGACTCCAGCATCTCCAGCCCTGCAAATCTGAGGATTTGAGCAACAATTGGCTTACAGCATCTCAGTTAAACAGTTAAACTTTCAATCCACGAGGGAGGGCTTCTCGGGTTGATGGCAGGCTCAGGCAGTTCCTTGTATCTCCTGATGTTTTGTGCGCCGCGTTGCTTCATGATCGTGTGCTCAAGGGCGTGGGGGCGAAGAAGCTGACGCACATGTTCTTCACCACAGGCGAGGTCCTAAGTCAGTTCATCTTAAGTTCAAAGCTCGTCCAAGCTCGTTGCCTGTGGAGGCATAGAGCGAAGCCAGGACGAGGCTTTCAAGCACCCAAGAGACACCGTTGTGCACGTCATGACAGATCAAGCATGGTGCACAGCTCAACGGACAAGGACCGTTGCTTCCGCCTGCTGGACTTGTCGGACAACAAGCTAGATGATCATGGGGTCGCAGGCAGTTCGCAGTTGAAGAGCAGTCACGACTTCACTTTGTCTAGGGTGTCATCCTGAGTCATCTGCAGGTGTCTCAAGAACCGCAGCTTCCGGAGGACGCACTCAGTAGCTGCTCCCGTACCTACTCCGGAGAGTCTCAGTTGATGGTCGGGGGGTAAAATGTTGTGCCGCATGAACGTCCCTTCGCGAATCAAAACTGTCGGGAAGTAGCAGATAGTAGTACGGGGTGTATAGCGGCAAGACACTGGCGAAAAAGTTGCAATAGGTGCTAGCGGGCCAAATGTGAGTATTAGATGGTATTAGGACAAGAACACGAGCATTTCTGCTGTTAGCCACTTCATTCATATTTGCCGCTTGTGTTATTTTTCTTACTGTGCTTTCGTTGTGTTGGTTGTCTGTGATGCTAGCCTGTAAGACGGCACTCTCAAAAAAAACATTACATGACGACAGCACTGTCAACTGGCACTGGGTACTTTCTTCCACCCCTGGTGTTTCTCCTGCGTAATAGTCCTGCCTGTTTTCGCTTACGTCTACTGTTCTGACCACAACTCGTCCGCCACCTATGCCAGGTAGACCTGAACCTGCTGGTATGGCGCGCGTCCTCTTTGTGTGATGAGTCGGCTCAAAGCTGAGCTCACGATTTGGCGAGATTTTTGCGAAGCAAGCGTCTGCCCAGCGATGCGAGACGGCAGCTTTCCTTTGCGTTCCCGTCGCGTTTGTGGAGGCAATGAGTTGAAAAAACAGGCCATGCTTGTTTGAAGGAAGGCCCACCGTCCTCTCAGATGCCGGCTGCTATTGCTGCTGCTGCTGCTGCCGTTGTTCGTGCACGATCGTGGGAGGTGACAGCGGTGCTGGGATTTGGACATCATGTCTTTGTCTTCCTCCTCAGCCTGTGGGATGCTCATTCACTGTTGCTGTCGGTGTCGTCCCTGCGTTTGCTGTTTGCGTGGAAACTGGACCGCAAAAGACGTGGCAGCTGTCACTGCCTTGGGCATACGTAGTTGTGAGGCACTGGCATGTGCCGCGGCGCTGTCTGGAACAGAACACTACCCAGCAGACGATGACTGCTTCTAAACATGCCTCATGCTAGGAAACGCCGCAGCCAGAGCCCTGTTCTGAGAAGATATTCCTGATGAGGTTGGTTATGGTTGGTTTTTGCACGCAATGGCACTGAACGGAGGCCAAGCGCACGTGTCTTTGCTTACGCAACGTTGGCTGCAGCAGCCCTTCTGCTCAGAAGCTGGGAAACCGACTCGCTGCTGTGTCCTGCGCTGGGAACATCGTGGCTGAGGTCAAGGTCTGACCGATATATTAAGCTGCCGCCTGGCGGGGCTTGACATTGGTCACAACGCTTTGGGGATCGAGACTCCGCAGCAAAAGCAGAAATCACGCTCTGGGCTTGCGAGCCCCTATGATCAGTCATGGTCTTGAGCATCTGAGGATGGTGGCAAGAAGGTTTTAGCAGCCAGGCGAAGGCATGTGCGCTGTCTCAGAGTTGTGCACATCCAACTCAACGCCGGGCTAAGCTGGTCGATGGAGCCCATGCCTGAGACATGCCTGAGCTGCTCTGAGCTCTGTCAGGAACCGATGGAAGTCCCTGCGAATGTCCGTCATCCCAGAGCCTCGACTGCAGATTGTACATTCAGACCATGTCCGATGCTCCAAACTCTCAGGATTCAGGCGAGACCAGACGCTTGTCATCTTCGAGTTTCTCGCTGTTGGCCGCTGTGTTTGCATTGAAGCAGACTTGTCGCATCTTGTCGCTCAAGACTCTTTGCCGCCATGAGGCTGGTTACATGGCAGAATGCCTGGACGGCCTTACTGACTTTGAGCAGCTGCCTCAGCAGCACGCCGGCCACACGTGACTATACGTGACTGCACACGAACAAGGTGTGGCGGAAACCATTTTGGCGAGAATGCATGCTGCTGCATCGCGGAAGCTCTAAGCAAATGTCGGAGCCTCCTGTTGAGTCCTGTGTCAGCTGAGTGTAAATAAGAGGACAACAACCGCCCTTGCGCGGCAAGCTGCAAGCTTGAGGCAGTCCAACTTTGAGTCGTATGTCTTTCCCAAGCACAGGATGCATGCCTGACATAGATTTCGGTTGGATGCTATGTTGATGAGAGTTAATGAAATCATTCTACCAGAGCGCCAGCCATCTTGTGTCTCATCAGATGAGGATTTGGCCTCCGCGCTTGTGGTGCTTTGGGTCAGGGATTCTGGCCAAGCGCCGGTCTCTCCAAGCTGAACACTCTGGACCACGCATCCATTCGATTCCATTCAGCTCGGCGGATTTCTTCAAGAGTTGCCCATCCTATCTTAAATGGCAGTGCCTTCCTGACATCCTTGGCCACCAGAGTTAACCTGTCAGGACCTTTCTGGCAACGACCTGGTGGACGTATCCATTGAGCTGCTGTGCAATGGTTTTTGCAGATGTGCTTCTCTCCAAAAGGCCTGACAGCTTTGTTTTGCACGTACTTGGAGCCTTCTTCTTTTGATCTGCTAGGCCTCATTGCTACAAAGTTGCTGCTGTCTGCCTTGCTTGACAAGACATTCTGTATGCGCCAGGTGCAACTGGCGGACAACGCATCACGGCAGCAGGGGAATTGCACAGCCAAATGCGTCAATGAGCCAAATAGGCAGGCAGGCAGGCTCAAACAGGTGTATGAAGTGGAATTCTCAGCTTGTCTGAAACCTACAAGTATCACTTCAAAGACCCGAGGTGCAGCTCATAGTTTTCTGCGTGGTCTAGACTCAGTATCAGAGCCTGATGCGGACCATACGGCGTGCGTAGTTGCCCTCACACATGCTGTTTGTGCCAAGCTTGAGGTATGAAGCACTGAGAAACATTTAGGGTGTCTAGCCTGTGACGCTGAATCTGCAACCTGGCGCACAACACAGCAGAGCAATAGCATACTCATGCGCCGTTAATTACGCAACACGGCAGACCATGCCCTCTCGGGTCATCACCTGGCCGCATGTCCTGGAATTGGCAGAAGAACGGAGCGCCCTTTGACGAAGCAGCTGACAACTTTATCAAGAAGTGCAAGCTGGATGATGCTTCAATCACACTGCTGTGTCTTGGTGGCAGCCCGACTCCATGTTTGTGGCATGCGGTGGCCTAAATGAGACAAACGCATCATGTCAGGTCAGGCATTCCGGAGGCCTTAAAGGAGGAGATCATATCCAATTCAAGCTTGGATTGGGAAACAGGCTTGTCATACAAGCGATTCTTTAGAATCGTGCAAGATGCCTGGATATCACAACTTCGCCTGCAAGAGCACCGTGAACTGATGAACATGATTCGAGATGTACCCGAGGAGGCACCTCAACCATTTAGCCTGCGTTCACAATTCTGAAGCGGATGTCGGTGGTTCGTTAAACTGCATACTGGATACTTATGACTCCAAGGATCCATCACGAAAGCCAGCATAAAGAGCATAAGAAAGATACCTAGGCTGGCTTTAGCAGAGCTAAGTCTTGAGGTTTGCCATGTATTCATTCACAGGTTGGGGGGGGGGTCAGGCTCAATTGAAGGGTCCACAAGACCCAAGTACCGTCAAAGGGCGATCCGCCACAACAACGATGAGGAGGATGATGATGCTGGTGGTGGGTTGGGATGGTTTAGGCAATGGTGGTCACCATTAATTACCATCATCATCATCATCATCATCATCATGACCATTCGCCACACATCACAGACGAGCTTACATCCGGCACCTATCTCCATCACAGCCCCTCAGCATCATCGTAATTGTGCAGTAATCATCATCCCCATCACCCATCTGCGCTGTCATGCCGTGAACATGCTCACTATTTGGTTCCGGCATGTTCGAGCAATTCTCCTCACCAACAGCATGAGGTCATTGTCTTGATTATGATTGTGGTTCATCGTCCTCCCCACCCCGCAGCACCACATTCACCCTGCTCCTGACCATACTCTATCACAGGCCGCCATATCATGACCATACCATGTTTTGCCGTTTGTTTGTAACACTTTCTCTGAACCACAGAGGTCTTTCACTACATCATGAACACCTACGAACCAGAGTTTTTCCGCATATCATCACATGCCGAAGAATGTCATGTTTTCATCCGTTAACCATGCAAATGACTGAAGCATGTCATTCACATCACCAATGTCCGGACCATCGGCAACAAGACATTCATCATCATTTCCAGCATCATGGTCAAGGTAGTACCCTGCCTCAACCAAACAAGCCTCATGTTTCAGTTTGCCAAGTGACCCTGTGGAAGCATGACTATGACTACCACCTACATTTGCCACCCAAGGCCGTGAAACGTGACATGTCATCATCACCTCAAGGTCAGCCTGAGCACCAGCCACACATTCTCTTTCAAGTTGGGCTAGAACTTTGCCACTAATGCGCGAATCCGCTTTTGTTTGCTCTGCGTGCGCTCTGGCTCCGGCGACTAGTTTCTGCTTTTTGGCCTGCGTGGACAGAGGGGCAAGTAAGTGAGTGAGGGGCGGCAAGCGCATGCGGAGCAAAAACAAAACACGCCCAGAGCAAGCCTCTTTTTTTTCGGCCCCGCATGAGCTGCATGGTTGTCCAGAGAAAATGAGAGATTTTCTGTACACTCTAGACATTGGGATTTCCGCCAAACAGCCAGCAGCTAGCGACTGTGAGAGGGAGGTTTTCCAAGGGAATACGAGCTTTTTCCGAAAATAATCAAACTTCGCAAGAAACGCAGATGTTTTCAGTGTTCGGAGATTTCCCTCAGGACAAAGAGCAGCGCACGTGCGGGCGGAGCGAAACAAAAGCGCAGCCTTGGCGTGTTTTGTTTTTGCTCCGGGGCCGCGCGCTCTGGTTGCACCTCAGGGGACATGGGATAGAGCATGCAGAGCAAATAACAGAAGACAACACGCAGAACAAGAAAAACGTGCAGAGCGAAACAAACACTCTTACCCCGCTGATAAATGTGGCCAATACACCAGCAACAACAACGAACCTGTTGCTTCCCTTGCTGCATCTCAGAAATGGCTTCAATGACTTTTGACACAGGACATGCGGATTGTGATCATGAAGTTCGACAAAACGCGCACCAAGGACAAAAATGTGGCCGCAAGGTTGATGAGCTTTATCCAATCCGTTCTGCGAACTAGCCAACATGAGCAAGGAACGCCATATCGCTCCATGGTAGCTGATTGCTTCATACCTGAGAAGGATGTCGGAAGGATTTTGGGTGAGTGCGGGACCACCATGAAGAAGATCGTGCAGCGCATTTGTGAGGTTCTCCAGCATGATGATCGCAAGCATGGGCATCGCCCGCTTGTGCAGATGGCCTACAGTGATGGTTGTGGGCGCTTTGAAGTTTTGCTGTATCCACCTTTCAACAATGAGTCGGCCTTTGAGGATGCCTCAGTGGCAGTGCGTGAGATGGTACAGCACATCATAGAAAACCCCAATGATTTTCTTCAGACATCAAACTGCAAGATGCCACCACGCCTTCAATTGGATGATTGGCTGTGCCCGAACAAAAAATGCAGAAATGTATGCTTTGCACGGCGTACAACTTGCTTACGCTGTGGAGAGCCCAAGCCAGCAGAATGGACTCCAGCTCATCTCGCGCAGAATGGCAAGCAGAAGAGGATTCGAAGCCTGTGCAGGGATTACAGCAGCAATTAGTTCATAAGTCTTCAGTGCATGACCTGCCGTATTGAGTTTATCGTTTCTCACTCAGGAGTGGTCCCAATGAAGGAATTGGTGAAGGAGATGGAGCTTGCAAGCGATTGCTGCAGAGTTCTTTGGCTCATTCCTGAAGATGAGCGCCTCCACTTACTTGGCCCTGAAGGTCATACAGTTCAAAGCATCAAGCACGAGGCAGGCTTGCATAGCCTTCTTCTTACACGCGAGGCGGAAACCGAGACGTATTTTGGAGAAGTTTATGCTCAAGTGCATATTGCAGGAAGGCCTGAAGGCACCAGAAAGGCACTGACTACAATAAACGCCCTGGTCGGCGGTCGTCTGGCAGAAGATGGGTTTGAACAGCTGCTGGAAGCATCCAAGTCTGCCCTGCGAGTTTCTCCAGCTGGGCTCACGTTCCAGTGCTTGACAGAGTTGCCCGAAATTCGAGAAGCAATGGCTCGAACAAGATTGTTGCGGCAAGCCGTGGGCCTGCGAACTCTTCTCGAGATCCTGGGCCAGTGGCCGGAATACTTTTGCATACACAGGACTGGGCCTGCAGGCGCCACCATCACAACGGCTGATCCAAGCTTGCATTGTGCAGCCGTTAAGGGCGATGCTGGCAGGCAGTGAAAACAATGATTTCCGATCGGCTGCATAATTTTCTTGATTTGGCACGTTGAGGCTTGTTCCACCTCCTGTTTTGCTTTGGAGGGGCCTGGGCTGTATCCAGAGCTGTACTAAAGACGTTGGGGTTTTGGATGTTCGCATGACCCGGGTTCCCTAGACAAAATCACAGCTTTCTCATGCAAGGGATGCCGCCTTGATTTCAGGAGCTGGCTTAGGCCTATAGGAAGTTGTTTCAAGCTTATCAGAAGTGATCCATAGAGCGGAATGAATCAAGTTTTGTACCCGTCATTCCCAAAAGCTTGCTTCCGATGCATTGCAACACCACGCTGACTCGCACACTACGCTTGGGTGGCTTTCTGGGTCAGGCAGGTCAGGCTCATGGCGAAAGCATGCCCCCTAATCTCAGGCTACGGCCAAGCTATGAGCTACATGGCGATCCCTTCTAGGTGAGTTTCGCGGTCAGGTCAATCTCGTTCTTGCCAGGGGTCATCTGACCCGACTTGCAATCAATAAGCACCAAGCTGGTGGTGGGGCCTGACAGCCTTTAGCGGGTTTTAGCTGGTCATATACCCGTGCGACCAGATGGTCCAACCCATGACTTCGGACATGTTCAGCGGTAGCCGAAAGCTTTTGCTGGGATATGTTGTGGATGGAATCTACTTCGTAGACCCTATGAGGTTAGGATGCACTTGGACAAGCAAGGGGGTGCCTTGGAAGCTGGACAGGCAAGCGCTAGTTTTCCATTCCAGTTGAAGTCATACACTCTGCAAAGGCACTGAAGGCCCTGGGTCCCCGATCCTTTGTGAGTGGCATTTGAGGCAATTGGAAGTCGCGGAAGCATCGTTCTGGCTGGCGCATTGATCCTTGGGCGCATGTTGACCCTTTGATGAAGCTCCGCAGACCAAATTCAAATAAGTATTAAGGCAGGCGCAGAGGCAGGGGACGACTTGTGGTCTCATGTGCAGGAGTTGACGGAATCTTGTGCAGGCTCATGGTATCGCCTCCACAGACAGGCTATGGGTACCAGCGTGTTTGCGGCACTGCTACACTGTAGGGCAGCCACAAATGCTCCTCCTGCTGCTAGGCATCGTCTTTTTGGGGCTTAGCGGCAATCCTGTTGGCAATGCTGGCGCGAAAGCCATTGCTGCCGCTGCGGCTGCTTGTACTCAGGCCGCCTGCAGTACTGCAGTAGTCTGAGCATTCCGAAGACTTGGCATGGCAACTTGTGCACAGGATCCGCGCTGCTTAAGCTTTCGTGCGCCCTGGGGGCTCGAGCAGCTGGACCTAGCGCGTACGCAGGCCCGCGTCGACAGCTGAAATTGTGCTGGCAAAGAGATGACACGGTGGAAAAGAGCTCAGCCCTAAGCGTCCAAGAGCTACATAGAAGCGTTCGTGGGAAGTTTGAGGTCCAAGCTGGACTCGTCAACGCCTCACAACCCTCACAGGCCTCACCGCATCCCCCACACCACCGCCGACGCCACCGTCGCCACTGCCGCTGCTACCACTGCACCACGCGCGCTGTTCAAGCAAGTAAAGTAGAGCTTTGGCACCAGTGCTTTGCCTAGAGGGTCTGTTCCTCTGGACTTAATTCTGGCTCATACACGGGTGTTGGCAGCACGAAGCACAAAACTTGAAACCAAACAACATTTTTAGGGATGGTGCACCAGATGCCTGCTGTTGGGAACGAGGCTGACTTTGGCGGGTGTATTTGCGTTATAGATTCATCTCTTTGCAGGCTATCTACTCTCTGCTTCAGGTAGCCCGGCGGTGCAAAGGTCTTGCTAACGAAGCTGAGCGCAGGGCACCGGGGTTGGTTTTGACCGTGTGACAGGTGGGGCAAGATGGCTGTGACGCGCTGGCTGGAGCTGTGGCAGCACGGGCTGCCCTGGCCACAGAGGCTAGCCACCGTCTCGCGGATGGGACGCTGAACCAGGCGCTTGCCTGAATATGTGCCGAGCATGCGAGAGGATCTGCTGCAGTTCTTGACAAGTACAGGGATTTTTGAGATTTTCATGGAGACTCTGGCCCGGAAAACTTCCGGTTTGGGGCGTTTGCTGATGTCCAGAAACAAGTGCGCACAAAACGGCTTGAATCGTAAATCTGAGAGTGGAAGGCCGAGCTTGAGGAGAAGTGGGGAAGACGCCACCCATCAGGCTTGCGATCCTGTGCGGTGCGATTGACGCGCGACTGCTTGAGATCTCGCAGGGTGCTTTCTCGTGCAGGTTTGGCAGTTGCGGGGGTGGAGGCATGTGTGCGCCTCAGCATGTTGCTCTTGGATTGACACTTGCAGGACAGTCATGCCCGTCATGCTTGCTGTTACAGTGCTGTCTGAAGGTAGTGCTGAAGTGACTGCAATGCTTCATTCGGCCCACGTTCGTTTGGCGGCCCACTGGCCTTTCAGCAGCGAGGCCAGACACCACCAAGACACTCACTAAAGAGTCGGGCAACTAGCAAGTGACAGCAAGTGCTTTAACTCCACACGCTCTTGCCCTGCAAATTGTCGCTCGACAGCACATCTAGCCATATATGCAAGAGCCAAACCGCACCGGCGAACAAATCCCCTAAAACTGAACTGCACGTGAAGTCCTACATGCCACGGGGTGCACGTGTGTGGTCGTTCAGTAGGGGTGTGACATGGTACTTCCTCCCATTCCTGCGCGTCGGACTTAATGCGTGTATTGTGTGTGGATTGTGCATGCCCGCGCTCTCCATGCTGTCTCGGGCAGTTCAAAGCGCTGTCTGCCTAGCCCAGTGTCTGATTTTCGCCCGCCCTCAATGCCCCAAAGGAACTGCAGGAATGTTGTGACACACACGCACACACACACACACACACACACCCAGGCTTGGCATTTAGGTTCGAGGTTAGGTGATGTCATGCGGACTTTCGGCGGCTTTGCTGCCGATTGCCCGCCCTGTCCATAGATGATATTTGTTGAGACAGAAAGCAAGGTCTGCCACCATATGGCAAAGGAAAGACGTGTAGAATGCTGCGGGTCTTTGATTGCTTGAGGGCTTATCCCTGTTCAAGTTTTGGGCGGAGGGGTTCCTGAAATACCATGGAGATTTTGCCCTGGAAGCTGCCATCACGACGTCAAGCAAAACATCATGGGACGCCTTCGTACCATCAACGTGCGAGTATTACTTGCATGAGCTAAAGGCAATCCTTGCTTTGGAGCTTCCACATGCTGATTTGACCAGGACATGCAACTCCCAAGCAGTCGGGCTTTGGATAGCACGCAGCTTCCGTGGCTCACCGCTGAAGAGGAGAAGTCAGTTGCTTTCCTTTGCTAGGTTCCTTGTGAGAAGAAGCGTTTTCTGAGCGCAAGGACTCAGACATGGAGGATGTTGCGCAGAAGGAGGCATGCAAAACTCCAGCCCACAACGGCGCATTTGGTCGTGGCACCATGCATGCTGCATACTGGGTGGTTTTTGCGATTCGTACAAGCCACAGGCCTAAGCAAAAAGCCTGAGGTACGACATGTCACTCCATCGGCCTGCAAGATGCCTTTTTTTGAAGCAGCAAGCAAGCCAGCGATCAAAGGCTTGCGTTGTTTCTGGTGTTGGTGCATCGACGCTGCTGGTGGTGGCGCCGGTGCTGGTAGTTTTGTGGGTGGTGGTTTCGGTGGTGGTTTTGGTGGTGGTTTTG